AAAAAAAAAAAAAAAACTTCTCCCTTTTTTCATAAATTGTTATTTTGTTCGATAGAACCAAAATATATACAATTTAATATTATTATAAATCCGATATATTGTTTGTATTAATTATGCTGGATCAATGGCCAATAATATATAGTTAGTACTGGCTACATGATATGATATTTTAAACACATAATTACAATCAGTTCATTAGTCGGAATATAAGGATTATCTAAACCATCCTAGATACCACAATTCTAGTAGAAAAAACAGTTTTTTATAACGGGTAAAAAAGATATTTTATAACAGTTTTGAACTCGTTACAGTTTCAGACGTTATATTTCAGTATGGATTTTCTATGACGGTTGTGACCCGTTATAAATTGACTGTCTTTTATAACGGGTAATATAGACCCGTTATAAATATTTAATTTACCTGTTATAGACTACACTATTTTATAACAGTTCCTTATTCAGCCGTTATAAAATACTATATGTATTGTGTAGTTAAAAATACTTGTTCGTATTGTATATGTTATAATAGTTCCTTATTGTAGTGTGTGTTGCAACAGACACTACAATACGGACAAAAAAAACAAAAGCTCCCCACAAGACAAGAGTATACATAAACTCCACACAGAAGAGTAACACAAACTGACATAAAAGAAAACACATTCCTCCAAAAAAGAAGAAAAACAAAACAGAAGCCACAAAACAACACACCAACAAACACCACATGAATACAAAATTAAACAAACCTAAACAAAACTACTAAAGTAAAACCTTCCTCTGCAGCTGACAAGTAACACAACAATCTGTCATGCCGCTAACCACCCAGAGCCGTCTCCTCACATACTAAGACCAAGTTCGGAGCACCGAGCCTGAAACTGGAGTTAGAGTTGTAAACGAACCGAACGTTCACGAACAAAATCTCGTTCGTGTTCGACAAAAGCTCGTTCGTTTGTTAATCGAGTCGAGTTCGAACAAAAAATTATGCTCATTTAATAATCGAATTCGTGACCGTTCGATTATGTTCGCGATCATTTTAATATAATTTTATTTATCTTTTTATATATTTACATAATATTTTTAATAAAAAAATCTAAAATATATAAATATTTTTATTTCATTCTTTTATTTTCGAGTTCGAACGAATAAATTTCGAGTTAATTAAACATATTTAAAAAGTTTATGTATTAAATTATTCGAACACGAATGAACTCGAACTTTGACGAACAATTAAACGAACGAACTCGAACACGACATTTTGCTCAAAAAATAAATGAACGAACACGAACAATGTTTGAACGAAAATAAACACAAGCTCGAACAGTCCAAACTCGGTTAGGTTCCATTCGTTTAGAGCACTAACTGCAGCAAAGACCTAACAAGCCCAACCTAGAAACCCGCAGTCCTAAAAGGCTGGCCACCCACAGTCCCGCACAACAAAGTCAACCCCAACTCTCCACACCAATCCTACCGATAGCCGAGATCTGACAACCCTGAAGCCACCAACCAACACCACCAGCGGAGCCATCGCCCAACCCCAGGTGCGACGGAGAGCCAAGGGTGGCGAGCACCAAACTCCAAGCCCGAACCCATCGCCACCACTAGCAAATCTGGCCAACAGTCCCATATCTGAAAGCCACTACCAGCATGAGCCCTCTCTCAACACCAAGGAGACGAAAATGCAAGGAAAAAAGAGAAACTAACCTCAGCCCGGA